GTTTCAGAAGCATCAAGGGACTGCATCAACGGAGCAAGTTGCGAGGCAAGTACTGTAGCACTGCGATTGTACGTAGACTTAACCGAGGCGTTGTCTGTTTCACTGCGTTACCCTTTCTTCCACGGTATTGAATCGACTTGCTGAGTGAGACCTGACTACCGAGTCGTGAGCAATCAGAGTCATGTTCTACTTGTCAAGATGCGTCGGATGTTGCGGCTGTTGCTGGCACTGAATAATAATAGCGCGCATTCTGGGTAAAGTGCAAGGAGCTGACATGAGCTGTCTTGAGATCCAGGCATGTCCCAGTTGCCCCGCCCCCACCTGACAGTGGATCCAGTCCGGGCCAATGCAGTCCGACAACCTTGAGCTCTGCATCTCCGACATCAACAACTCGTCATTTTTATTCCCTCTTCCATCTTTCCGCAAGTCCCCTCTGTATTAGTTCTGACAAGAACCCTTTCGCTGTCTTGAAATTGATCCATTGCGAGCTACCTGAATCCTAGGTACGTTTCATACTTTATTATGACAGCTTTTCCAAGGTCGTGATGGCACCATGTCATGCCCCGCCTTCGCCAGAGCTCCCCTGGCAAGCCGGCCATCCCTTTCCATGTGTGCGCGACGGGGCACTTTAAAGCACCGTGAACTCGCCAGATCTTGGACGAGCTTTGCTTACCTGTCCTCCAGCCTTTCGTCAAAATGGCACCCGCCAACACCCTCCCTGCCTGGTCCGAGCTCCAGTCGCACCGCGATGGCGTGAGCAAGAACTTTGTCCTCAAAGAGGCCTTTTCTTCCGACCCCGACCGCTTCAACCGCTTCACGCGAACCTTTGCCCCCGGAAAGGATCTATCGGCCGATATCCTGTTCGACTTCTCCAAGAATTTTATCAGCGACGAGACCCTCGACCTCCTCGTCAAGCTGGCCGACCAAGCCGGCGTCGAGCGCAAGCGTGATGCCCTCTTCCGTGGCGACAAGATCAACTTTACAGAGAACCGCGCCGTCTTCCACCCCGCTCTGCGCAACACTGGCGGGTGGGAGATGAAGGTGGATGGCCAGGATGTCATGAACTGCCCCGGCGGCGTCAATGATGTCCTCCAGCACATGAAGGAGTTCTCTGAGCAGGTCCGCAGCGGCGAGTGGAAAGGATACACCGGCAAGAAGTTGACGACCATTGTCAACATTGGTATCGGTGGCTCCGACCTGGGTCCTGTCATGGTCACGGAGGCCCTCAAACACTACGGCGCCAAGGACATGACTCTGCACTTTGTCTCCAACATTGACGGCACGCACATGGCCGAGGCTCTCGCTGCCTCTGACCCAGAGACCACGCTTTTCCTCGTTGCCTCCAAGACCTTCACCACCGCCGAGACCACTACCAATGCCAACACAGCCAAGACCTGGTTCCTCGAGAAGACGGACGGCAAGGGCGATATCACCAAGCACTTTGTTGCTCTGTCTACGAACGAGTCCGAGGTCACCAAGTTTGGCATCGACGCCAAGAACATGTTCGGCTTTGAGAGCTGGGTTGGCGGCCGCTACTCTGTCTGGAGCGCCATTGGTCTCAGCGTCGCCCTTTACATCGGCTACGACAACTTCCACAAGTTCCTCAGCGGTGCCCATGCCATGGACAAGCACTTCCGCGAGACTCCTCTCAAGGAGAACATCCCCGTTCTGGGCGGTCTCTTGAGCGTGTGGTACTCGGACTTTTTCCACGCCCAGACTCATCTGGTTGCTCCGTATGTCAATGATGCTGCACCCCGTTTGCCGTGATTTGCTGACATTTGTAGATTCGACCAATATCTGCACCGCTTCCCTGCCTATCTCCAGCAGCTGTCCATGGAGTCCAACGGAAAGTCCATCACCTCTGACGGTTCCTCCGCCAAGTATTCGACTGGACCCATCCTCTTTGGAGAGCCATGTACGAACGCCCAGCACTCTTTCTTCCAACTCGTGCACCAGGGTACCAAGCTGATCCCCACCGACTTCATCTTGGCCGCCAAGTCCCACAACCCCATCTCTGACAACCTCCACCAGAAGATGCTGGCGTCCAACTACTTTGCCCAGGCTGAGGCACTCATGGTCGGCAAGACTGACGAGGAGGTCAAGGCTGAGGGCACTCCCGATGACCTTGTACCTCACAAGCGCTTCCTGGGCAACCGCCCTACCACATCCATTCTCGTGAGCGATGTCATTGGTCCCGCCGAGCTTGGTGCTCTGATTGTCTACTACGAGCACCTCACCTTTGTGGAGGGTGCTGTGTGGGACATCAACAGCTTCGATCAGTGGGGTGTCGAGCTGGGCAAGGTTCTAGCCAAGAAGATTCTGAAGGAGTTGGACGAGGAAGGTAACGGCGAGGGACACGATGCCTCCACTGGTGGACTCATTGGTGCTTTCAAGAAGTACTCCAAGATTTGAAGTGAAAGCAATGCCAAAACGGGTACATATCGCCCTTGCAGGAACATGAATAAAACGGAGGCTTGATTACGAACTTTGCCATTTCGCTCACTACTAATACGTACGGACGGCCTGAAGTCGGACTCGATGCAATCTGCAAAGAAACAAGGGTCCAGCTGTCACAATGCCCAGATAGGATTGGTTGTTATAGTGCGTGGTCGCCCAGACGGGGATCAACCATATGGGTGTTGAACATTTCGGGTTCCCGTCTGCTCTTTTCTTGTCAAATCGGGTAAGATAATTAATAGTTCGAACGTCGACGGTCCGCGCATCTACAACGACGTCACAAAACGGGTCCCTCCTTGCTCCGTCCAAGCCTTGGTTCTGGTGGGGTGGAGGGGTCAAAGGCCGCCGAATCATCTCGCTCAGTAGGACAAACGTCTGGGCCATGCAGTAAGAAACGCTAGGATTATGGTCAGAACGGTGAGCAGGGCGACATCATCGGTGAGGTCACTGAGCGTGATCGTGTGTGAGAATTGAAGAGAGGCCGGACTTTATGTCCCGGAAGCGAAGAGAGAAACAGTGGCCCAAAAGCGAACTATATCTGTTGAACAAGAGACATGTGTGCCACTGCGATCACGATGTACAGAGTAGAGCCAATCACGATTCCGATGGAGGCGATGGCCAGTGATCTGTAGTTGATGAGGTTTGTTAACAAAAGCACATCATGCTGGAGGGAGTTTCTCCGAAATAATAGGCAAGATTTGTTTATCCATTTCGCTTAACCTTGAAATCGTCGATCTCAGCGGACGGCTTTTTCGGCCACCCGCAATGATCGGATCTTTGTGGGCAATATCGAAGCTGCTTAAATCAGAGGGAACCATGGGTCCCGAAATATGTTCTGGATTCGTGTTCATGCACGCGCATGCTTTGACAGTCTCATCAAAGCGGGCGGTGGCAGGACGCAGGACCCTACAGTAGTACTAGTAATGATTAGTGGGAGCGCAGCCGCAGCTGGCTGGGGAAACGCGGAGATTTTCACTTTATGGTTCGGCTATCGCGGTAGACTGGTAGCCAAACGGGCAAAGTCTCTACGGACAGTGAACTGCAACAAACATTCTCATGTACGTGAAAGGGGTTGAAAAGGCAAGACAGGGGTCAAGGAGGGAGACGGGTGTGGGCTGCGCACGGGACTGGAGTCCATGGTCCAAGCGAAGCTGGCCACGATGTGTCGGCAGCCGCGTAACGCGGTACGACTGCGAAAATATTCAGCCGGCCTGCCTGCGCGGCATCGTGAAGAGCTTCGTTCGAATGCTATGTCAAAAATGGCGCCACGGCGGGGATCCACAAATCAACATCGAGAAACGCCTGCGCATTGGTCGACTCCTGTTGAAAGGGTTGCTGCGCGCGTCTCCAGTGAGTCTAGTCCCCAGGAAAAGGTCGCGATGCAGGGTGGGCTGTGTGGCCAGCGAACTTCCGCAGGCACCATCGCGGTATATTATCGTGAACAGCGACACTGTCGGTGGATCTGATCATGGCAGTGACACAGAGCCGGCCGGCCCGACCACCCATATGGAATCGGTTACGCAAGGCCCGTAACAATGTTGGAGCGCTGTCCAGTGACAGAAGTGACAACGGTCGAGCGAAAAAAGAGACTGATGAATTTTGGATCGTGAACAGGATCATTGATGTCATTGTCAACGACATGAACTGGACATGATCGAAACGGTCGGACGGAAGACGCGGGGCAGTAACGAACAGTGAGTGAGTGACTGATACGTAACTTATGGCATCACAAATTCATCACAGCATGTGTCATGCGGAGAACTGCCCAGCCCGTGCTGTAATCGAGCAATGTCACAGGCAGCCACAGCGCAACCAGTGGGCGCAGATACTGTGCCTCCAATCCAGCCTGTAAGAAAGCCGCCTGCTGGTGCGGTCAGATGGCCGTGATCCACAGGGGCACGATCAGGGGCAGCGTCGCAGCGACTGGACGCCCGTCCGCTGCAGAAGTATTCGAAGACGCGAACAATCACCGCAACATCGGCAAAAGGCGCACATTAGTGCCAAATTCTGGAGAACAGCATGCAGGATCAAACAAACACCAGAAGCGACGCAACAAGCCCATCATTCGAGTGACGATTCCGCCTACAATCTTGTTGTTCCTGGCGCTGTGATTACTGTAGAGGGGCTGGAGTGACGCGGCGGAACACAAGTGGGGCTCATGACACAGTCCAATACGGTGACCCGCCGTAATCGCACCACGGAGCGCTAGGCCGATTGCGGCAGACGCGGGAAAAGGAACCAGGATCGAGAATGACGCTGCATCTCTGGAATGACGCCAAAAGACCTGGCGAAAGGGCAGGTTCGCGATGGCTGAGCAAGGAGTGGGCCACCCTTTCGTCAACCGCAATCATCGCTCTTGCTAATTGACTTTCTATCGCCCGGTTGCCGTTCCATATCACAGTAGTAGTATTTAATGTTGCGTCCCCCCTCACTGTCAATGGCCTTTTCCCATAGCCATCCACCGTTCTTCCTTCAAAAGCAAAACGTTGACCGTTTCCTACACCTAAGCTATTCACACGCATTCTGGTCCTCCTCTTGCAACCATGGGCATGAAAGCTGTTCACTTTGGCGCCGGCAACATTGGCCGTGGCTTTGTTGCTTGCTTCCTGCACAACTCTGGCTACGAGGTCATCTTTGCTGATGTCGCTGACGCCCTAATCGACAAAATCAACGACACCCCATCCTACAAGGTCATCGAAGTTGGCACCGAGGGCACAACCGAGAACACCATCACCAACTACCGCGCAATCAACTCCAAGACCCACGAGTCTGATCTCATCGACGAGATCAGCCAAGCTGACATTGTCACTTGCTCGGTCGGTCCCAATATTCTCAAGTTCATCGCACCCGTCATTGCCAAGGGCATTGACCGTCGCCCCGAGGGTACCACCCCTCTTCACGTCATTGCCTGCGAGAACGCCATTGGCGCCACCGACACCCTCGCCGAATTCATCAAAGACCCTAAGAATACTGCCGAGGACCGCCTCGAAGACCACCATCTTCGCGCTCGCTACGCCAACTCCGCCATCGACCGCATCGTGCCCGCTCAAGACCCCGATGCTGGCCTCGACGTGACGCTCGAAAAGTTCTTTGAATGGGTCGTCGAGAAGACTCCCTTTGAGGATGTTGGCATTCCAGCTATCAAGGGCATCAACTGGGTTGACAACCTGGCCCCGTACATCGAGCGCAAGCTGTTCACTGTCAATACCGGCCACGCTACCGCTGCTTACCACGGATACAACCGTCGCAAGCGCACCGTTTACGACGCTCTGCAAGATAAGGATATCATGGCGGAGGTTAGGGGTGCTCTCAACGAGACCAAGAACCTGATCGTCTCCAAGCACGAGATTGACGAGGATGCCCAGGCTGCTTATGTCGACAAGATCGTCAAGCGCATTGGCAACCCCCATCTGGAGGATGCCGTTGAGCGTGTTGGCCGCGCTCCTCTCCGCAAGCTGTCCCGCAAGGAGCGCTTCATCGGACCTGCTGCCGAGCTCGCCGAGATGGGCGAGTCCATCAAGTACCTTCTTGACGCTATCGAGATGGCTTTCCGCTTCCAAAATTACGACGAGGACGAGGAGTCCAAGGAACTGGCCAAGATCATGAGCGAGAACGGTCCCGAGGATATTGTCTCCAAGGTCTGCAGCGTCCAGTCGAACGAGAAGATCTACCCTCAGCTCGTCGAGGTGGTGAAGCGCGTCCAGGCCGATAGTCGTGAGGATTGACTGCAAGGTCAGAAAACTCGGGCCAAGATGTAGGAGAAGGTCCTATGAGACATGAGACATTACGATTGGCGTTTAAGCTTTTAGCTTTGGGATTCAATTTATATAGCATGGCGTTGGTGGATTAATGGATGCTTTGTTTCAAGCAGAAGAATATAACCCTTTCGCAAGTTCGATATTTTCGTCCCTCACTTCGTGTCTTCTTGCAAAATGACAGGTACTATCACGTCAATTCATTCCAAGTTACCAGCTACTGCCACGGCCACACGCACACGTTTCGCTCTATACCGCCCGCGCTTTTACCGTATCTGGACCTGACATGTGCTTGACATGATTTCCCGGGAATCCTCACGATGTTAGGGCCAAGCTTGATGATCTTCGCGCCTGGATTCAGAAGGCTTGTCGTCAAAAAGAACCCAAGCCCTCCAGGGTTTGAGTCGATTGAAGACCGCAGGCTCCTCATTAATTCCTCGCTTCTGGTGGATGGCGTCCGGAGGGCCTGCAGATGCGAACTTGTTCATCGTAGTTTAGACTCAGTGGGCGTCAAAAGTCACTTTCTTCAACGTGGCACTTGCCGTGAGAAGCTCGGCTCATTTCACGCGGAAAGCAATGGAGGCCAAGAGTCTTTCGCTGGGCAAATGCTCCTCTGGTCAGGGATGCTCTGGCGTTCCCTGTGCACTTAATACCCTGGATCGTGGAATCAATGTAGAGAAGTCAGAGGACGGCCAAGCTGGCCAAGCGCGTGTTGGACTCGTGGCTCTCATTAAGACCTGTGCCCCGCCCCGCGGATTCCCGATTGCACATTCTATCCAGTGCCAGATGCTTCTGGATAAGGCACGGGCCTAGTTCTACTTTGGCAAGAACAACAGCCTTCGTCTTGCACAGAAGTACCTCGAAATGTGCTTGACGAATACTGATTCCTATACGAGCCTCAAGGGCTCGGGTCTCGAGGCGTAACATGATTTCTCTAAGGCGCAAAGGTCGGATCACGGCATAGGATCTGGGAAGAAAGCGTCGAAGAGCGTTCGAGAGACTGACCAGATGGCCAGAAGCCTCATGTTCCGGCTGACCAACATCTCGCTCGACTACTATTGCCTCAGAGCGATTGGGTCCCACGAAGGGCTGTGGGAACTCTAGAATCGCATCTGAGAAGGGCTTCAGAGACCTGAAGAGGAACGAGACGCTGTTCATCGTGTATGATGTGCCAAAGAGGTTGAGAAATTGCAACAAGATGCCTGGCAGGGTCAGGAAGTTATCAAGGAAGTCGACACCTTGCAGACCATGATCGACACTCATGTCTCAGAGATGTGCCTGTCCTAGATGAGCTGAGACGGTCAATTAAGAATCCTACAACACAATTGGACATTGAACGGATGACCCAGGAAGTCATATCATTCCTCGAAGATTTGAGCCACGAAGTCTTCACAACCTTCAAGCTCACACCCACCCAACTGTGTGAGGCAGTCAACGCGATCATTGCAGAGCCTCCAAATCCAATGAAAGCAAAGTAGGTCGGGAAGCCGTCCTAGCAAGGCTTTACCAAAGTGCCAAACGTACACGGTGTGCTCGTTGACAAAGCTCCCTTATTCTCTGAGCTCGAGAACGTCCATGAGAACCTGTGTGACAACCTCCATGAGTTTATAGAGGGCGTCAAGCTCTCCGAAGATGGGTTTCTAATGGGGAGCGATGACGCATCCGCCCTCGTTGCAAATGCGCAACAAATTGAAGACCTATTGACCGAGTTCGGCGGAGATTGTTTCCGCGGTAAACCTACTAATGCGGCTAGGCTTTCAAGATTCAGGGCCCAGCATCTCGACCAACTCTCGTCCATGAATAACCTGACGGCGGTCATGCACAATTACTCTCGCGAGTGGTCCATACACCTACTAACACTACCGAAGAGCAGTGTTCTTCACGTTCTCGGACACTGACCCCCTGGCCGTGGATAGATTGCATATAAAGTCTCAGCTTCTCGGCCACAAAGCTCGAAGACATCAAGAACAAACTACACGACCGACTTGAGGAGCTACCCGAGAAGAGAGTCTCAGACGCCCCTCGGTAACTCGCAGACAAGGATAACGCACCGGAGAAGTTCATGGACTTGACTTCATTGCAGCTGAAGTGGTTGCTCCAATACGGCCGACTATGTGTGAATATTCCCAGCTGTGGAGAGATGGTCTAGGTTATATCTCAACTTCAATGGCCCCAGCTTATGTCTGGTCCGTGTATACGGTGCATACTTTTGGCTCGAAGGCATCACAATTCGCCGCAAGTCGACATAGACAGAAAAGAAGAAGCAGGGCGACGACATATTCGTGAACATTGGGATGAAGCACTGCGGTGACAACCAGTTTACGGACGTGTACAACGAACCCATCGCCTTCTCACATGATGAGATCGCTGTGACCTTGAATGGAAATCGACAGTGTGAGCAGGAGACTGAGCGCCGTTGGCGCTGATGCCAGTGGGCCAATTGCTTTCAATCACAGTCGGCACAAAGAGTAGGTGTTTGGTCTCGGCATGACGCATGTGATGTGGCTTGTGGAAAGGCCGTAATTACGGCGAACATGAACATGTGATAATTTCGGGAGGTGTACGGAGTAGAGGGGTTGACGTTGCAGCACAACAATGTTCAGATGATCCAAGCCTTCAATCCGGATAAGCTAGCAATGGGGTACCACGCACCAGCCTGTTTCGAGTAGCCTCACTTAGACTACTGTGTCACCCTATGTAGGGTGCACATATCAAACCACGGGGTTCGACAAGGCCAAGAGGGGCGCGTAGCGGGATCTGCGGTCTAGGCAGATCCTGGGCTACGCCTAAAAGGGTGTACATAATGAGAGTACGCGAGGTCAAGACGAACCAAGCATCATCTCCGTTGGACGACTAGAATGACAAGAATGCATCTTTACATCTTTACACCACCATAGCGCTTGAAATCTCAGCAATGGCAACGCGGGAAGGACTGTTCTTCGACAACTCAAACTCGGTACTGCAACGGGGCCTCACTTGCAAAGGTGCTATTAAGCCTTTTGCGAACAACACCGATGAAAGGGTCGATTTTGATGTCATTGTCGTGGGAGCGGGGTACGCTGGCTTGACAGCCTGTAGAGATCTCTGCACAGCTGGTGAGTGTCAGAGAGGTGGTTGAAGTGGCATACATATCAATCGTGCTGCAGGTTTCAGTGTCCTCCTCCTAGAGGCCCGTGACAGGACAGGCGGGCGAACTTTCGCGACCGAGGTAGATGGACACCTTTATGAGATGGGAGGCACCTGGGTGCACTGGAACCAGCCGCATACGTATCGCGAGATGTCCAGATACGGCCTCACCAGCTTGTTGCCCAGCCATGAGCGGACATTCGGACTTGACAGCTGTACAATTCGTTTGAATGGTAAGACTTGCAATATCAGCCACGAGACAGCAGTATGTATGGGAGCTGGTATTGCGGGACTCCAAGCTAACATGACTCAGTCAGCGATGACAGAGAAGGCTTTCAGGTTAATGTGTGACGTTGATGGTGAGCTGTGCCAAAGTGTCATACCGTACCCTCATGATCCGCCTTCAACGCAGAAGCGAAATATTGGGAAGCGTTGTCCGTGGCACAGCGCCTCGACCAAATCAGGACGCACGTATGTGACGACGAGGCTGTTATCCTGCAAGCGCGTCTGCAGCATGTCTGGAGACGGGCTCACGCCTGCGGGAAACACGCATTTCGTGTGCTTTGACTGCAACGAAAAGTTTGGATCGCCCAAAGACGACGATCGGAGCTTTGCAGCAGATTGCAAGCATGTCCACGACATGGACATCCTGAAAACGGTAAGTGGCACACATTTGGGCAGCGCTCAGGCTAGCTGACAAGATCAGATCTGGCATGGCTGGAGCATAGATCCATTTGCCAAAGGAACTTGGTGCATGTATCCGCCAGATTGCAGTTTCGAATATTCGGCTGCACTCCAGGAACGGGCTGAAAATGTCTTGTTTGCCAATCAACTCGGACTGGGCGTCGGGCCGGCGTACATCGACGGCGCCATTGAGAGAGGCACGCTGGCGGCGAAGGATGTTGCTACTGAGTCGCGCACATCGTGATGGATGGCAGGTTAGAAATGAGAAGCAGTGTACGTAGTTGAATCTGTCAAGAACTTCGAGATGCGTAGCAGAGATGCGGGACAACGAGCTGTAGGGCACTCATATGAGCAGGGCTGATTTTATTCCCTATTTGGGAATATCCCGCGTCCGCGACTCCGAGCCCGGGGCCGGTGATGGATCCATTGCCATATTAGGCAGGTCAGCGGACCCTGCGTTTGTTTATGAATTCCATTTCCTGTACTCGTTTTGAAAGCTCGAAAGTCATCGGACATTCAAGTACATGCGTCCTATATTATTAGCAACACCAATTCATCTATTCGAAGGCCTGCAGAGGACCGGGCTCGTTCACTACGCTGAATGCACAGCAACAATGGTCCCCACAACCCGATCCATGGCACCCCCGAGATGCGCTTGGCAGCCTGACCCACTGTGTACGTGACATTGTGCCTGGCGGTCGCTCGCCGATTCAATGGAGCGACCTGGCGCTGCTCTTGGGGTTCGGATATTTGGCTCGTCGGTTGGGAGTGCTTTCAGCAGAAGTATTGGACCTCTTCGCGACCTGCCTGTTCATTTGTTGAGGAATTATGATGTTGAAGCTTCTGGCCAGGGCATTGCTTGAATAATATGTCCTGCTGTCGCAGATACTTCTACTAACCTAGATTATCATGCAATTTCCCTGGCATTTCTTCAATCGACCCGCTTCGTCCACGGACTCAGTGCGTTCAGAAAGCGTTTGTGCAAATCAGCATTACCGCTCCTCCTGAGGAGCTCCCCGTGCTCTTCACCGCCCAGTCTCTCAAAGAATAGCAGGATTCCAGCCCAAATAAAATCAGTGTAGGTGATGGAGTCGCCCAAGAAGAATGGCCCGGACGACACCTCTTTGAGCAACCCAGAAATTGTTGCGCGAATGGCGCAGCTCTATCGAACGCCCCAGGGTCGTGCTGTTTCTTGTAGACTTCCAGGTCCATACCCAGATCTTCTCGGCGAGTTTCAATAAAATACCCCAAACTGTGCTCGCCGAGAAATCTTTCTGCAACACCCGGTACGTAGATAGGTGTCAGTTGTGTCATGAGCTGGACGAGAATCGGCTGGAATCTGGATTGCAGCTGTGCATTCAAGGGCAAGCTTGGTTCTGGATGCCGCTGTTCAATGATTTCGGCAATTCTGTAGGAGTCGATTACATAGGACCCTTCGGGCATTTGCAACGCTGGGCACGTGGTCTTGGGGAAACCTTCGCGCTGATTTGGCGTGACACTGATGGAGTGAGTGAGCAGCAACAACACGTGGAGAGAGCCTGGATGTAAGAAACTCAAAGCGAATCACTGGGGGCTAAGCCGGGTCTGAATGTCTGGATATTCAAGCTGTCACGCCTTTAGTATAGCGACGAGGAAGTGTAGTAGCACCGTTAATTTTACCCTTTCTGTTGTATAATCGAGGCCCTTGTAGTTGAAAAGGAGGTCTGGCTGATTGCATATGATTTTAGCCACGCACGCATCAGGGCACATTTCATGAACTTACTTCTCCAGGTGTTCATGGACCAGCACACCCGCGGAGGCTTGGTAGGAATGTCAAATAGTTTGTACGTGTTATAAACCATGCTGCGTGCCTTGAACTCTATCCGTACAATGTCACTTGAAGTCTGAAGTTGAAAGGTTTTAGTTCTGATTCTGCAATGGGCGAGCGTCCTCCTAAAAGGACAAGCAGGATTGCGGAAATGGGTCGCAAAGCTGACAAGATAGCGGGGTCGCTTCAAAAAAAGTCAGCAAGCAGGACGACAGATCATGGATCGGCAAGCGCGGCACCTTTGTGGATGACGCTGGGTTCCTTAAGTGTGGGTGAGCAGTTGTCGCAGTACAAGTATTAGGATGCAGTTTCGCAGCAACTTGTCTGGTAGGCTTCTATTAATAGCCAAGTGTTCGAATTCAGTTCACTTTGCTTGATCACACTGACTTCCGCAACTGCCTGAGAGTCGGGATATTCGTCAGGGGTTCCCATATGCGACGATAGTATCTACCTTTAGTATATTCGCCCAAAACATTTCACTATCCCTGCTTTAAGTGATTATTTATTTATTTGTCTTGTTTGATATTATTCAGTCTAGATTTATCTAGAATAGTTCAAGAACTACGTTTCGAGATATCGAAACTTACGAGAATAGAGTAGAGTACATAGTGTTCGACTCGAAATCAGCACGAGGTTTCGAGGTTGCTCGAAACCTACATTTTCTAGAATGTCAACACTATTGTTATGAAGATAGACTCTTGCAAAGTCTATTTAAACTTTTTTCCCAACGAACTACAAAATATCGTCAATTTCATCAGGGATTTTATACCAGTGTCCTTGCTCCAAGTAACTTCGCCAATCAACCTGAAATCCTATCAACCTCATTACCTTGCACGCGTCTTCTCCTAGTGAATGATTTATTTTCTCATCTCTTACTCCATGGCCGAGGAACACGGGGGTTGCATTTACTAGTTGTGGTGTATCCTGGGTTTCCAGCTCAAGGGCCACCAAATCTCGGACATGTTGGAAAACTTTCGTAGCCGGGTCTTTTACTGCGTTCTCGCTATTGCTAGTGTAATCGAAGGGATTTTCGCCCGAGGTGAACGGGTTGTCGTCAAAACCTTGGTCGGGGCTAGGATTGAGAAGGTCTTCAATGTCCTGCCTGAAAGTCATCCAGCCGCTCATCCCTATGAATCCCCCTACTGGATGTTCAAGAGCGAGAAGACAAGTCAGCGCCATTGCGCAACCTTGGCTGAGGCCCCCCAGTATGATCTTCACACGGGCTATCTTGTTCTAGTCGTCGGTAAGGATATTGAAAATGTCTTGGAAGGATTCTTGCAGTCCTTGTAATTGAGTGTGGCTTCGGTGTGATGGGTCATCAAGTGATGCGACGTCAAACCACTGCGTCAATCTGGCCCGACTGAAAGCACTCGAACGACGCCGTTTCGACGTCGGGAAAATGAACCTTGCTCCGGGGAGAGCCTCGTCCAATCGTTGACCACTGGATGAGATACCAGTGTTCATGAACTCTTCGCCAAATTTGGCCCTATTCGAGCCTAGCCCATGAAGGAGGATAAAGCTGTAGGTATGGGTTGAAGTTGGCTCGACGATGAAGGGCAAGTTTGTGATCTCTCTCGGGCCGCAATTGTCGCTCTGGGATCTTTCCATTGCAAAATAAAGGCTTGACCGCATGTGATATCGTACCCTAGTAGGAGTCGAAATTTGGCACCAGTATCTGTGTATGGATACGGAGAAGAGGCATCTACTGCGAGTTGTGGCTGTCGACGCGGAGCATTGAAATTTGGATTGCAGCGCGGTGCATTTCCTTCCTGTATCTTATCACCCTATTTTGTGCGGGCGTACTTTCTTCGGAGGCAAAAGTGCTTACATTAGTGCCGAGACACCTCCCCTACCGCAACCCCCTCTTCACCCACCAATCATTGTGAAGTCGCCGAAAGTACTATTGCAATTTGCGACCCCGAGGGCGCACTCATCATGAGACGGCAAATATCGCAACGAGAGCTCGACGAAGCCACACTATTTGGCCCATACTGTGCTGTGCATCTCCTGCAAGATGGCACGACTATCGTCAAGACTTGCGAAAACACGCGAAGCACAGAAGCGAATACGATAAAGTTCGTTCGTGAGAACACAAGCATACTACTAGAGTGCATACGAAGACGAGGATTCAGGCCGGATTCGCATTGTCATGGAGTATGTCGACGGGAAGACGCTGGAAATGGCCTAGAGCAAGTACACTAAGGAGGGGAAAGGCGACGTTTCAAAGCAACATCGTGGTTGTTCCAACGAACCCCGACAGATCAAGGGAAATCATAGAGAGAACGAAGATCGCTTAGGTAATCGTTATGCACTATTTTGAATGCTTTGCACATGGTGTCTACCATCTGTGATTCTGTATGGTATTTTGTCTATTGCCGAGGACGTCGGCCAAGAAGAGGGAAAATCTCGTCCACGTAGTTTTGTTTATAAAGCGCGTTGAACTGAAAGGTTTTCGGCAGCCACTCTCCAAAACGTGTCTCGCAAAGCGTGCAAACCAATGACCAAAGATCCACCCCAAAGTGTTACAGACACTGAATGTATTCGTAAATGGGCTCTAGTTAGAGTTGAAAGACTCAGCAGTCACTCACATCCACTAGATAAACTCAGCTGTTGATACAATCGTTAACGCTTGTGACCCTCCAGCTTCATCACTTCGGGACTCGACTGTGGCGACTATTCAGTCTCGTAGTTGTCACCTGCCGTCCTACGACAAGATGACCTCTTTTCTTCCTATACTGCAGCTAGTCGAGACCTGAACGTCATGTCGCGCTAGGGTTCCTTAGTTGTGGCAGGAAATCCAAGTTCAATGGCAAATGTTCCTCGAAGCAACCTTCTGACTATAAGGTAAGTTCCACGGTAGCTGTATGACGTCTAACGAGAAGGGCAAGACCTATATGAAACCCTTTCTGTCCACAGCCATGGATTGTGGGCAAAGTAACAAACAAAGAAATGAAATTATCAGACAATAGGGGCGCGCCTCGCTTGGTTACGTCAATTTTTACGGAGAGAAAAGGCAAATTGATACCAGCGGAAGCAGAAAAGCCCCTTTTATTTGTTCCCAACCCATCGTCTGAGGTCTTTTGACAATCTATATCATAGAAACAACTCAGGATCAACCCCAAGCTCAAGACACGTAGCCTTAAAGCTAATTTTCCTCAACTCCCTGGGTCAATGCCAGATTCCAAGAATCCATGCATTAGTTAGTGCAGCCATAAAGCAAAGGTTGAGGTATAGGTTAATTCTTTGACCTTTATTTTCCTCAGTGTTGGTCGACTCAGCGTTGGTCGGCTCAGCGTTGTCAATCGCGGAACTGGTAGGCCCTGGACCCTCATCCGCCCACGACGACAGGGAACTGGTCTCACTGCTTGTCCAGGCACGAGCCAAATCCCAACCCGTGGTGGCAGTATGACAGAAGATAAAGGGGGTGGGCGTCGTGGCATCGAGATCTTGGTAGATATCGTGCGTAGCGCAGACGGCGTCGTCTTTTAGACTGAGCGGGCACATATGGTATTAGCTATAAGCTTGGACAATGCAAAACAGAAGTTGCGCCAGGAACAACTTGTCGCAGGTGTACCTACCAAGCAATCATGTCGCCGTCGGCACCAAAAGCAATATTGCTTGAGCAGGCCGCGTAAACATCATCACGACCGCAGCCAGCATACCCATTTATCACCGTGAATGGGGAACTCATGCATTCCCAGTAGACTTTTCAGAAACACTTAATATCGTAAATGAGCTCCCACTCGGAGCTTATAGAGGGTTTATGGTGTCCAAAATGATTTCATACTCACAAGTGCTCTCGTCACCGACAGAGTCGGTGAACATTCCTAAGCCGATTAAATAGTCATTGTCTGGCTCTGTAGTTGTTTGGACAGAAAAAAACTGGGTTGCGTCGCCAGTGACACCATAATAGGCGCGGGCTTCGAGAAATGGTGTTACGGAAGCCAAGGGGGCTGCAGTCCCAGTGTGAGACTGTGTGGAGCTGAGAGCCGTGCTGACGAACAAGGCAACGTAAGACAGAGTAATTAATGACATATTATCATATAAAAGGTGGGAGCAAGACGTCGGATTGTACTTCTGGTGTTCTTTGTCGAAATGTCAACCTGAAAAGGATCGGAGCATCTGTTATATACTTACGCAGAAGGTACCCTAAATACTGGGACAGGTAGTGTCAGCCGCAGAAAGAGAGTGGGTGTGTGTGAGTCCAGCTAAGGCGTTTAGGCTCTGTTCTTGGAGGTCTAGAAGAACTAAAAGACACCCAATTCCAATGCTAAAAGCAATCTGTGCCACTATCGTACAATCAAGACTATGAGGCACAGACTATTAGTCCCATGGACTGCGCTGTGGCGGAGAGATCCACTAAGAGCAATCTCGATTTGACCACAGATAGTTCTAGCTTGTTGAACACACATGCCAAGTATAGGCTATCTCCTTGGCAAGTCTCGGTCTTGGCCGCATTACATGAGACTTCTCGTGGAAGCTAGGCAGCCCTAGCCGTGAGTCTGTTCCCGCTAACATCCGCGAGGGCACGAGCCGCGCGCGGTTCTGCCCGTGTCATCAGCCACCAAAATAGGATTGAAATAATACAAAGTTTACCGCCTTGCTTGCACTTGCATTAGACATGCCTATCTTAGCTGATTACGCTGATTTCTTCGTTAAGAAGACATACTAATCATCACACCGGCTGTTGCCTGTGTCACTCCTGAGTATAGCTAGTCATTTCAGCTGGCACTAGCCAATGTCTCAGGCTCTCAGCCTCGGGGCTATCTACCGCTTGGCACGGCCCATGATCCTTTCAGCCAGCCCGCTCCCCTAGAAAACCCTCGGGGTTCCAAGATAGATAGAGAAGACACAATGCCTTTGATAGACCTCTGGCCAAGCCATGTTGTTATATGTATGACCATGATGGAGCCTTTGTCGTGAGGAACTGGGTTCTCAATCGTGATGTTGGATTCGGTCTATCTGAATATCAGACCAGAGGCATTGCTAGCGAAGCCACTGGGGAGCTCCTGGTCCAACTCCGCTGGAGACGTAGCGAGGAATTTGCCTCTTGGATACTGTCTCCGACGAATCGGAAAAGGTGAACGAGAGAGCTCATAGTCCAGAAGGCGACGTTCATATTCAAATGTGCTTTAGTTGAACTATCATGTCGGCTTGCAGCGGTGGTGTGGATTGCTGCAGCTCGTTCACCTGACGGCGGTGGCTGTAGGGGCGGAGGCAACTGGCTCAGCTGCGAAGGTGACGTTGGGACAAAGATACGGAAACGCCCTCACGGCTGCCGCCTACGATGGTACAGTTAACGTAATCGAGAGCCTGATTAGCTATAACGCCGACGTCAACGCGCCCGACGGCTGGGCCTCGCAGACTGCCGCCGGACAAGGGCACATAGAGGTTGTTCAATTGCTTTTGAAACACGGGGAAGACGTGAATGCCTTCAGAGTACATGATAATATGCTACAGGGGACTTCTCTTCAAGCTGCTGTCAAAGCTGGTCATGTAGGAATCGCTAGCCTTCTTCTCGAGCACGGCGCGGACCCCAACCGAGGCGGGTATCTGCATGAGCATCCCATCATTGCAGCTGCAACCAATAGCGACATGGAAATAATACAGCGTCTCCTCCAGGCCAGGGTGAATCTGGATTTCACTGGAAGATCAAACATGGCTAAGTGGCTGGGCCTATTGCTTCAGGTTCCACGATTCTGCCGCAAGAAACCACCTGCTCGCTTGACGCTGGTGCGGACATCAAACTTCCAGATTAGAAAAAGGCGACACGGCGCTAATGATGGAGGCGTTTAACGAAAAAGCTCGGCTGGTGCAGTTGCTGCTCGATCGTGGTGCCGACGTGCTGCATGCGAATTGGAACGGCTTCAACGCCCTACAATGAGCAGTCATGAGCGGGGACACAGAGTGTATCAGCGTCATTTGTGAACATGTAACAGTGCTGATGGAGCTGCTACGAGTGGAATTTGCGTCTAGTAATCCCGTGGCGTCTGCTCTGGTACGCAAGGTTGAGAACAGAGACCGAGGCCTTGATTACGGCAATTGTCCAGCAGGAGAACCAGGAATCACCAGGTTCCATTAACTGACGGGACTAGTCTTCCGTGGGAGAACTGTCGGCATTGGCTTCATTACCTGGGCCTGGACCGGAAGGCTCTCTTCTAGCCTTGAACTTGGCCTACCCCGTTCGCACTAGAGAGATGGCGGTTGCGCACCACTTGATCCCCTCGAACACCCGCAGCCTACGAGATTCGATGGAGAAGCAACTGGAGAGACAGAGTGTGTGGGCAACTTGGGGTGGCTCCAAGACTCCAACAACGGAGGACCAGGACTACAAGGTGTTCCTCAGCCACATCCAGCTCACGATAGCTACGCCGGAGGGTTCACCATGGCTACATCAAGTGAACCATCGTTCGAGCAGAAATACGGCCGCTCTGCACATCAGTCGGACTCGTGCTTCTCAAGACATCCATTGGTTCGTGTGTCTGAATTTGTGGATCTTACGCTTGTTCATGCCACTCTATTCTATAACCTCTGTCCTATCTAGTCTATAACTCCGGCTTAAACTCATTTCAGAGCGCTTTTAGCAAAAGCTTCGGCTGCTTTCGCAGCATTTGCCTTTCGTTCGCTGTATCGATCCTCGAACAATTTGTGGTGCTGGCGCATAATAATGGTATACTTGACCAGCTCTTCCATGCAATCTACCAGTCTATCGCGGTTTCCGCTCGGCAGCAAACGAGCCTTGCCGCTGCCATCGCCTCCTTCGTCTTGAAATTGCTTGAAAGCTGTCGGGATGCTCGACTGGTTAGGGATCGTGAACATCCTCATCCATCGACCCAGGACACGGAGACTGTTGACGGTGTTGAATGACTGACTGCCACCATTTACCTGGACAATGGCCAGAGTTCGTCCTTGTGTCGGCCTCACGGAGCCCGTGGACAGCGGAATCCAGTCAATCTGGTTCTTGAAGACGGCAGTCAAGTTGCCATGCTGCTCAGGCGAGCACCAAACGTGTGCGTCGCTCCACAGGGATAGCTCGCGAAGTTCCTGGACGGCCGGGTGATCCGTAGAGACCGAATCACGAATGGGAAGCTGCGAGGGATTGAAGACGCGCACGTCGCATCCGAGCCTGTGGAGGATGCGGGCAGCCTCAAAGGCTGCGAGCTTGGAATAGGATCTGTGATGTCTCAGTCACTGCCTCGAGTTCTGTCGCGAGTTTGTGCCACTGACCGTTTTCGCAGACTCCCGTATAGAACAAGGATCTTGAGCCGGGCGCCTGTCTTCTCCAGGTCCGCCTGAGCCATCGCGGTGACAGTGTCGAGCTCTAGTTCCGACACCCAATCGTCTGCCGCACCCTCGTGATCCAGGAGAAATGGCCTGTACCTCGCCCTGGTTGCAGGTTCATCTTGAGCCTCGCTGATGGACAGACCTGGGGAAGCAATGACGCCGCCATTGGCTTTGGGAGGACATGGGTTTTGATCTTTGGCATGGCCGTGCACCAATTTCTCGGGTGATGGAGAAGACATGGCTGTTGAGGCAAAAGAGGATGTGAAGAACCGGGGCGAGTAATTAAGAAGCAGATGTGAACGCCAGCAAGCAATTGTGCGGAGGCGAGTCCCCATTCTGCATGGACACAACGAGTGAGGACGATGGGAAGACAGGCGTTGATAATAGTGGACGATGTTGCCTCTTAGCTCGCCTAGCTGCATAAATACGATATTTCTCTATCCGATTGAAGCTTAGCTATCACCGGCCACGTAGGATGTTTCTAAACCTTCTCTCCACGGATATAGTGATAGGTTTGGAGCCATACAATCATGGGCTTGACTCGCATCAGCCATGCTCACCTCAGTTCGTAAAGAAAATGTGTAAACAGGAGCCCACGTGCGCGTACATTGTAGATTGCCCGTCGGGGGAAATCTGCAAGCGTTGAGCATCGACCAATCATATACGGGGCCTGACACATGCACAGGGATCAAACAAATGTTTGAGACAGTCCGCAAGCGAGAAATCAAAAGCACTCAATCTGACAAAAGAATCGAGCTGGTGTGTGCATTTGTCTTCAGAGTATAATTGAACAATCTTATTTTATAACTACCTGCCCTAAACAAAGATTCGCCCGACATGCTCTCTCTATAGTGTGGCAAAACTTACTTCCCGGGTATCCAAAATGCCGACAATTTCCCCGAAAAATCCTGCGATACTGGCTATTCGTACTGTGACATCGAAGCAACTCAACAACATTACTCTACAATAGTCTCTCCACCGTATTCATGCCTAGGAAGGTCTGGCTCAATAAGGGCGTGGTCGCTCTTGGTCACCTTGAACTAATATCTGACTCGCGCGTTCTAGATCAGAAAACCGGCCTCTGCGACCGAAAACCGCGAAAATCAGCGTCGCTCGCGTGCTCGTCGCAAAGAACTCGTTCAGGACCTACAAGAGAAGGTCGCCCGTTTCGAGCGCGAGGGGATTCAGGCCAGCATCGAACTTCAACGGGCTGCCAAGGCTCTTGAACTTGAGAACCATCGGCTCCGAGCGCTGCTCTACCGCAAAGGTGTCGCGCATGATGAGATCGCTCGCCACCTCTGTGCGACCGGATGCGATGATGCGCTGACGGCCAATCACTCCTCCGAACCTGGTCAGCATCCTCCACCAACAAGAGTACCAGATGCTTGCTGTGCGAAAAGATTAGCGAGGAATCCCGAAACTCTGACAAATCCACCAGCGCTAAATCCGACATTTCCGTCGGGCGATACCTACTCTCCACGACATCGGCGGCAAGATCGCTTGCCTAGTGTCGTGTCTCCTGGGCTATCACAAGTTCGTCCGGTGGTCTCACTCAGATTTCCAAATGCCGGACTGGAGGACTATGCCAGTAAGGGAGCACCTGCTTCGGGCGCCCGGAAGGAAATGTTACCGCCATTCCTCTACCCACCTCAAGTATCCGCGAACTCGTCGCCTCTTGCGAGCAGCACGATGTCTTGTAAAACAGCCGTTGGTCTAGTGGCAGGCATGCACCATAGCTCTCAAACAGAAGAGATCAAGGGCTTGCTGCATTGCGGACAAACGGATAATTGCGAGGTCGAGACCTCGGAAGTGTTCTCAGTGATAGATCAGATACTATAAGTCTAGTAGCCGTGAGCCCTTAGTACGCGCTACACCAATTCCCCCAAAGAGGCAGTTTGGTACGCTTCTCCCTCTGCAGCCTATCCTGATCTTTAGCTAAACTTGTGTATTTCTGACGAAGCTTATACTCGAGGACGAGCCAGTCTGGCTCTGTCGCCTCGGGTAGGGCTTCAGGAGGTGGTTGATTGCTCTCAGTATCTTCATGCTCTGTGTCGCCTCTGACTTTCTTCTCCCGATTAACAATATTTTCCATTGTACCCTCTTCCCAGTCGTCCGCAGATCTGACGGTGACTCCGGGAGGTTTTCCACACAAGATGTCGTGGTCGGTGACCCAGTGGAAGAGATCACTGCCAGTGTTCCGATGCGCACCCAAGCCGTTGAACTCGATGATTTGCGCCTTCCATTCGCCGTAGTCGGAAGAAGGTGGAGTTACCAAAACGTCCATGGTGCAGGTATCGAAGGGTAAGTGCTGCTATCGAAGGGTAAGTGCTGCTTGACGCAATCCCAGACGGCAGTGATAGCGGGGACAAAGCCCTCGGAATACTTCTCCCTCCAACCGAGCTTCTCCCACCACATGTCTTGGCTGATTGCAGTGACACGGCCATCACAGTAAAAGACACGGATGTCCCGAGCGAGCTCAATCTCAGGCGACCATCTCTGGATTATAATGGCCTCGCCTGGATCGTCGTCTCAAACCTTCGCAGCCAAGGACAAAAGTCGCCCAACGGAGCGACCGCTCGTCAGGAAGCGCCGCACATTTGACTCGGCATCGGGACTGACAGCACTGGGCTTTGTAGTTGGAACATTCAAAGCGAAGCTATCCTTGGTGGATGTGGCACTCAACCTGACGAAGATTTTGTCTGGTGCCGCTAGCCTACAACTTTCGTCTCACATTCGCTGGATGTCACCGAGAATGGCCTGGCCGAATTCTGTCTTGAGAGCTTCATTGATGCCGGACTCAAGCAGCGCCCGGATCATTTTGAGCTTCGCTGCATGAGCTCGCAGAAACAGGAAACATGTTGATGAGTTCCGTTGCCATGTACGGCGCTCACTCAGGATTGTACCACAGGTGATAAATATAGCGATTGTTGGCTTCGGCGTATAACGAGTCGAATTCTTCGCTTCCTGTTCCAATGTAGCTTCTCCACGGGTGCAATGCGTGACGATTGTGGAAGTTGGCCAGAGACCAGTGTCGGAAGGGATCTTGAGCCGGAGGCAGGGCTGTATAGTAAGACCGAGGCCCCATGTACTCAATGAAAATAGGACATTGTGCTCTCATGGTGGGTGTTGATGCTGAACGACGTTTTTAAGAAGTGTAGAAGTAGGCAGAAGTGAGAGAGGGTTTAGAAGCATTCGATACTACTCTACTAGACAGTATGCTTGCCTGACCACACTAAAATCAAAGGCTTCGGCGGCGAGATGAAGTGATAGTAGCCCAGTTAAATCGCCTTCTTGTTGTGTGGAGAGGTTCGAGTCTATGTAAGAACATACATGTATACGCCCATGGGGCCTACACTCGCATCGGGCGCACTTATCCGCGGCCTCAAGATGGCGCGGTCCGTGCCATAGATCTTACCATTTGAAATATGTCCTCTCAAACCAGACAGAACTTTGATTTGCTTGAGTTTGAACCAATAGAGAAACGCCACAACATTGAATCTGGCTCTGACTGGCAAGACCTCTGCTAGACACGACCGGGGGTGTGTGTGACTCTGGAGGCAAACGGAAGACTGGTTCACCAAGTCCCGACTTCGCTCCCCCATCCGCTGTTCCACTACCTTCACCGAGCCATCTGCCTTGGACTCGAAACTGGTGACGCTGCCCACTATGCCTGAGCCCCTTTGTGCTGATAACAGTGTGAGGAGACACGTGCATCCGCATGTAGACTTGTGATGGAACCAGCGGCTGTATGCGAAGTCTTGAGAAGGGGTCTCAGTTGCATGTGATCGATGGGAGTTGCATGTGGCTGCATGCTGAGCCTTCCTGGACAGGTTGCGCCAACCCAGGAAACCTGAATATCTTCATCTTGAGGCAATGTTCACGGTATGCAAGGTGGGTGGCTTTGATAGGAGCATCTGATCCAGACATGCCGATTGCCGCTCTAGTTTCTATGAGTATACTCTCTCAAATCTTACTGGCTTGACTGCTGATCCCAAGCCTGGAGCAGGACCCTCACATTCTCCAGCTTGCAGATCCCATTCGATAGCGGAGACCACGCCGGAACTGTCTCTATGAAATGACAGGAGAAGGAGGGGAACCTCATGTATAGCTCCATGCCCCTTGGTGTCTTCCCCAAGATCATAAACCTCAATATTGTGCATGAACACCTCGTTTATGAACAATCCTACGTATTCTGATGGTGAAGGCTGTGTAGTGTAGGAATTCGCGACGTCACCGATTCCTCCACGAGTACGTCCCAGATGCCCTTTGAGGTCTCTGACGCTTTTTGAGCGTACAATTCCAGCGGGACGCGCGGCCTCATATTGAACAATTCCTGTGTTAACGCCTGTGCTCTGAGATCTGACGGATCTCCACAAGAGGGCGACGAATTCGCTATCACAACAATAGCGCTCCTAGTCGCAGGGAACGTATAAAGTGAATTAAAATACCCTTGGAACTCGCCCCAGTGAGCTAGCGTTAGTCTGGGCTCGCTGGTCTGACCGATCATGGGTCGATCCGGAAGCAGAGCGACATTCGGGCCTATGAAAGATAACCAGCGAGAGGGCAGAGTATGGCGGAACCATCCCATGCCGTACGATTCTCTCCCAAGACTATCTTCGTACGTGATTGGATGATGACAGCATCTAGTGTATTTGATGCCGGGAAGCTTTGAGCTTGCTGAGCTATCATCGAGAGAGGACTCCGATGCCATGACCGAGTTGCTCCAGAGGAGCATGTGGTTAACAGAACTTCGAACAAATCCGGCCGCGCCCTAGGTATCGCCGTCCTCGAGCTTTGGATCCCCAAGTAAAATGGGCGTACTGTCGTCAAGGATCGTATATCCCTTGGGGACATTGTTGTCTTTGTATTCAGCCGCGCTCGTACAGGTCCTTGCCATTTCCAGGGGTTCGAAAAAAAATGTTATACTTGATAGCTTGCCCAGTGCTGGTGTCGCACACCTTTGCAATCAGCTCACGAACGACCCCACAGACGGAGTTGTTCTAGAGCTACGTTGAACGGAGGTCGTATGCAACCGGGAGATTGGAGGCTATCCTGACCTGGTCGGAGCCATTGTTGTAATACTCGTCGTGGAACCCCATGACGACATGGTCTAATGCGGCAAGGCCAGTTCCGTGAGAGCAAACGTCGTTGAGCGTGGCTCTCTTGCTGATCTCTGGATCGTTCGGTGTCTCTTGAAATCCGGCAAGTAAGTGGAAATGGGCTTTGTCCAGCTTAATTTGCCCTCACTCTCTAATTTGGCACAGGTCGCAGACGCGAAAGCCTTGGAGCAAGATTCGACAAGGTAAAGCGTATCTCCATCAGGGACCCGTCCTTGTTCAATATCCGCGAGGCCTTCTCCGTGACGGAAGACAATCTGCCCATGATGAAGTACACCCCATGACACAGACGCTCCGTGTCACCAGTCGCTTTCCTGGAGACGGTGGCTAATCATGAGCTCATTTCGGGTGAACCGCCAACCTGGGACGGTCCTACCCAAGAGAGTCCTGCCAGTTGGATGGGCTATCTCGCTTTCCTCAACTCGACCACGATCCCAGAGAGCCTTCGTTGTCACCATATTGTCTCTTTGGCCGGAGACACGATTCTTGGTTTCATTCCTTCGTGATATTTGCCGATTGTTGACGGCGTTGCCTGCGACCAATGCCAATCCCAGCCGCTCGAGCCACGGAGATCCGTTCAGACACGACACGAATGCACATCAACTGAGAGCAGCAGACAGCACAAACATGAAAGCAGCAGGGATTTTGGTGAGCAGGCGTGTTACAATGAGGCTAGCCGTAGCACCACGGGCTTCTTGTTGCATCACAGAACGTCGTGGAACAACAGGGCTTCCCAGTAAAGCTCTGTATCTCTCCTCCGAGCCAGCCCTCTGGTTCAAAATTCAAGAACCTGGCGTTTCGTCTACGCCAGCACTTTGAGGCCCTGGTTTTTCTAAGAACAGAGTCTCTGGACGCAAAATCGTAGAAACCGGGTCGCGGGCCTGGGAGACGATATACCAGTCTTGCCAGCAAACAAGCCGTCCTGGCCCCAGTCTGACTGGACCGTCTTTCCTAGCACTCACCACGAGCCTTGTTTCCCATCACAACCGTCTGCTCCGCGGTAGGGTTCTCAGCCTCCGCCTCACTCGAGTTGACCACCGGGGCTTCTTTCAAGCTGTAAGTGTCGAGCTGCATTCCAAAGGTGTCAGCGAGTGTTTCAAAACTTGATGGAAGTCTGGTGAATCACTTACCCATTTGACAACGAACAGTACGCCGGTCACCGCTGCGCATGCGCACAGCATGGCGATGCTTCCCTTCCTCCAGTAAGGTGCGTCAGTGGCCGGGTACATGGCGATGCCCCAGAAGGTCCACAGGATCAGGCCCGACCCAGCCATCATGGAGAGCGTCACCGCGCGGTGCGCGTCGTCGCCACCGCGGGACAGCACAATGTTGGCCCAGCCGTACAGTAGCGGGGAGATGGCGAACGAGGAACCGGACGCGTAGAAGGCGAAGAAGTAGGCCGCGCGCGGCGCATCGGGAATGATGAGGATGATGGCGCAGACGACCTGCACGAGGACTATGGCGATGCCGGTGCGGACCCGGTGGCCCGTCCTGTCGAGGTACGCTGCCGTACCAAGCTCGGCGATGATGCCGACGCCCTGGATGCCCAGCGGGTAGGTGTTTACGTTTGACTGCGTGTAGGGGTTGCCTTGATAGTTCTTGAGCCAGAGGAGGAACAGCCCCTGGAGCGGAAAGGCCTGCAGAGCCGAGGCACAGATGGAGAAAAAGATGAGGCAGTACCTAAGCACTGTGGTCAGTTACCATTTCTACTTGGCGCCAAGGTGGAATTCAGAGGTGTGCTTGGGAAAGCAACTTACATGGCCGGTGTTGCGCAGACGCGCTTGAACAGCGACAAAGGACTGATGCTGTTGCTGTCTGCGCGCTTGGGCGGCACCCGACTCAGGGCCAGCGCCCTCTCCCGCGGGCTGAGATAGCTTGCGCGGGTCTTCTCAGGAGTGTCTGGAAGGTAAAGGAAACCCATGACGGAGATGGGCAAGGTGATGATGCCGTCAATGAGGAACACCCACTGCCAGCCCTTGAGACCGGCGTGGCCGTCCATGCCCTCGCGGATGGCGGTCATCATAACGCCCGCGAACATGGTGCCGACCTGCCCAGCAATAGTAAAGACGGCGGTGCGCTTGACGAGCTCCGACGGCTTGCTATGTGTCCATCGGTGGTTAGCTGACGGGGAAGGAGTGTGATGGGGGGACAACGTACTACCACGAGCCGATAATGAAGACGCAGCCGGGATAAGTGCTGGCCTCTGCGAGGCCCATGAGGAACCGCACGGCGCAGAGCTGAGGGTAGGTCTTGCAGCCAGCGGAGGCCATAGTAAGGCATCCCCAGAGGACGACCATGGAGGGCAGCCAGATTCGGGGCGCAATCTTCTGAATGATGAGCGCGTTTGGGATCTGGCCGACGACAAGCCTGTAGACATCGGTCCGTTAGCGATAACGCCCCTGGTCGAGAAGGGAGGCCCTTTGTGGGATACTTGCCCTGCCGTCGTCACGGATAGGACGATGTTGTACTGGTTCCCCACCATCTGGAGGTCTTCTCTAAGACCGGCGACCTGTTGCGGGGTGTTAATGTCATTGGGCAGAGCAAAGCCTCTCCAAGTATCTACATACGTAGGCATTGGCAAATGACGCGCGGTCTGAAGCCAGCACTGAGTTAGTCAAAGCTCGCAATACTCTGTTCGTTGTGGACACTGAAAAAGTGATGACTGACCAAGATAATTGAAGAAGTAGCTGAAGCAGGAGTAGGTCTTTCCAATTATCAGAGAACTATACTGTCACACAGCGAATGGCGGGCAACCGTACCAGGATGACCAAATCTAAAACGGATTTGTCAGTTTCGAGCACATGAGATAATGTGTGAAAACGTTGTGAGTGGAGGTTTCTTACCGAGCTTCCATAGGAGACGACGCTCCTCCTTCGCCCGGTCCTTGTCCTCACTAGAGGTGCCTTGGATGAACATGTCAGTAAATGACGGTCGCAATAGTGTGGCCACATGAGGCAATGCGACATACCCCTGGCCTCACCAGCAACCGATTTTGAGGAAAATCCCATGGCGATGGATGAATGTGCTCGCTTCTTTTCAAATTAGATCAGATAAGGAGAGCAAGTCCGGCGCGACGAAGATCTGATAAAACCGGGAGCCATCCGCCTTATAAAAACGCGAATAAACCCTAATTTCCTGCCCCATAGAGGCACTAATGACACACGAAAATACCCATCCTTAACTCGCTCGCGTGGGAACCCGCAACGACGCGTTCCAGGCTTCCAGCATGAGGGACTAAGAAATTTCTTCCAACGGTGGGGAGCGGAGGCGGACGCGATCCAGCCCACGATACAAAAGGAGTGGACTGATTGATAAAATTGCCCCGACGCCAAGAAAGTAGTAAGGTTTGCTAATCACGAGCTCGCGACAAGTGCGACACGCTAACCCCACAATATATGATCAATGCACAGAGCGCGCCATGCTAAAGGGACAGAGAGGCATCCAAGACTTCGCGGATACGGGATCGCTGGCACGATGGCTGTGCGAGTGCGCGAGACGAGCTGAAATCCAGTGCTCGCGGCGATTCGGTAAGTTGCTCTCTATACTACTCCTAGTAGGTCTTAGAATGGTAAACAGTACCTAACAACAGGAACGCGAACAGAGTACAGGTCCTGTTCCCACCACTTTGTTGCATACGCCTTCAAGCTGAACAGAAAGTCTGATACGAATTCCAGCCCATTAGTGTCCGCGCAGGATATAGCATCCTTGGGTATGTCAACTCCACCGCTCATGCCCTTCTCGTTGCCACTCACTGCAGCATCTTGTGCCCCGCGGAGGTGGAATGAGTTCTCAAACTCTGGAGATGCAGTGAAACCACTCGACAGATCGACCAGCCCTCCCAGAAGCTTGAACGAAAGCATTACAGATAGGTCAGCGCCAACATCAAGAGCCACGTCAGCGGATTGAGAGGCGTTGGCAAAGGTGTCAAAGTCCGGCTCCCAGCCCGACGTGGTGGTTTTGAACCCGTCCAGCATATCCAGATGGACGTTTCCGGTCGGTAGAGAAAAGTCCACGCCAGCGTAAAGGTCAACAGCAGCGGAAGCCTCAACGTTGACGTAAAGGCCGAATGCAAGTCCAGGACCGAGCGACACTACCCCAGGGACGTCGATAAATGAGAAGGCGAGATCGTCAGGCTGATACTGCACTGCCTCCTGGAAAGCCGCCTGGACCGATGCCGAAACGACGGCTGAAGAGTCAAATGCAGCGTCAAGGTCGAAGTAGAGCTCTTGAAGCTTGAAGCCCCAGAAGCTGTACTTGAGTTTCCCGGACAAGGTGAGTTTCGACGAGAACCAGGCTTCCTCGGCCGTAATGTCGATGAACTCCCCATCGGTGAACAGTGTTGTGTGTTCCTCGAGGCCTTCGGCTATGTCAATCGACCAACTCGGTGAGAGATTGAGCCGCCGCATCAAAGTTGCTGCAGGCAGTGACGTGAAAGTCATCTCCATTTCACCTGCAAGGCCTGGTAGGTCGCCTGGGGTAGCATGAACTTGAATAGACAAGTTGTCCAAGTCCGAGGTGATGCCGTCAACCACGAAATATCCTCGCTCAAACTCAGCTGCGCATCCTTCATCAAGAGAGCCAGTGATGAGAACAAAGGGCTCACCGCCAGTGTTCCAGTCCTTGACAGCCTCTTCGAAGCCGGCATCGTCTTCGAAGACTACAGAGAGCACGTTGGCATCGCATGAGGTCTTGCGAATAGACGCAATATTCTCGAGGACAACAGCGGGGTGCTTGAAAGCGAGGCTCATATTGATGCTGCCTGTCGTAGTGTTCTTATCCTCGGCAGGGGGGGCGTACGCAAGGGTGACGTTTTGAGCCGGGACGAAGTTCTTGGGGTCGGCGCGGTCAACTTTGGGCGCTGAGCAGGGCTTGAACGTATGCGTCGTGTTGTGAGGAGTGGTCTGGCCGATGGGTGGCTTCTTGTGCACAGGACGCCTAGAAGTTGGCTGAGTCTGTGCTGGGCGCTCACTTGTCGAGGTGGAAGATGCCTTGACGGACGTGGTGGCAATCAAAGGTGGCTCGACCGTTGAAGACACTGAAACGGTTGCCGTTCCTTCAGGTCCGAGACTGGTGTATTGCTCAGGCATTTCCACCACAATGACAGTAGTTCGGCACTGGCATGACTCTTGAGCTATCACGTTCCCAGCTAAGACAAGAAGCCCTGCAAGGCCTGACTTGAGAAGAGATGCCTGCATTGTTGGTTGAAATCAAGTGACGAGTAAATGAGTGACGGATAAATGAGTGACGGTAATGAGTGGACGCTCTCACGATGGCCGAGCTCAACGGGAGTAGCTGGACAACAGAGTCGGGAGGCATTGCTGAGTGCGCAGTGCTATACTTAAATACTGTACTTCTCCACGAGCCTTTCTTCTACCGTAACGATACTTGATGGTAGCTAGTAAATTGCATGTGGATGCAAACGCTCTGCCCAGCTTTACCTGAAGCTCTCTTATCAAATAACCAGGGTTAACTACGACCCCGCGGTAGTCCGATAACAGCCTCCGCGTTGTACCGCCTATATCACCGCTATTATATGCCGTGATTTCGGCATGGCTCACCTAAACGCGTGTCTTGGCTACGGGTCTGGTGTCACAATGCATACGCCAAGTCCTTGACTCGCACCTGAATACTATTGAACTCTCTTGAGCTTCATATGCCGACCCTGCGAGTTTAATCAGCATGTCTATACCTCGGCGTGCCAGAACTACCAGCAATGGGATGCCAAGTGGTCGCAGGACTCGGAAGTTATCCGAGAAATATGCGATCAGCTCACACGTGCCACGTGGCCTCCCGCCCTGCCCCTTCTTACAGTTTACTACAACAAAAACCTTCGGCGTTATTTTAATCATGCGGTCGGATAAGGAAGCGGACCAGATACCTTCATTGAGAGAGGTCAGGAAGCGAAATTCAACATAGCTAACAGCCTGTCGCTCCGGCAACCGTGCACCGCTTAGCTACTGCGTCGACTCTGACCGCCTACCCGAGTAGTTACTTCGTGGGTTAGCTTGGACATTCGACGTCAAGACTGCCTGATCGTGACCAAGTTCGTATGACTCGGCCGGTATCTCCTTTGTGCTCTTTGTGGTGGCGTCGACATGGAAGGACCTTGTCAGTATTATCTCGCCGCGTCCGATCTCACCGGGCTCCGATCGACTTTGGTTGGCGTAGTAAGAGGAGCCCTTGACTCTGACGAATATCGCGTTGACGGCGGGTAAGCATGCACAGATCAGACCAATGCCGGCCTCGGCGTTGCTATTACGCGTCAACCATGACCTTTGACAACAACATGCGACTCTGCTTACCCTGATAGGACGACTTTCGTGAACACCATCGTCTGGTTCGTCGAATGGCCTTCGTTGATGATCAGAAGCAGGCGGTAGACACTGAATCCCGTGGCGATACCTCCAGCGCAAAGCATGCCAATGATTCTTAGTCTCCTTTTCCTTGACAGCTGCAGAGACCACGTCAAGGGTGTGGGCAGGACCAAAATCACCAGGTCGCTGATGACGCTGATGATAGCATCCGCTGTGATGATGGCGCTCTGGTCCATGCATTTCTCGGTCTGACCTTGCCAGTACGCCGGGATTGGCCAGCAGATGAAGATTTTGATGAAGATGCCAGAGACGTAGTACAGCACGATGACGCCAATGAGGATGTATATGCCGATCAGTGTCTTCTTGTGCACGGCGCCGAATACGCGGATAATGATGAGGAGCAGGGCGAGCTTGACCGTCATGGCCATTGGCGCGTAGAAAATCGTGGCGGCGTATCCAGACTGCGCGCGTTAGCGGGGCCCACTCGATCATTGAGAGTTGCCTGTGCCTTGAGGAAAGACTGTAGCTCCGCTGGCGAAACCTCCCATTGGTTCAGACCACCTCCATGTTTCGCGGCTAGGTGGTATCAGGAACAATTGAACCCAGGGCAGAGCAAAGCTACTAACCAAATAGACAGGTAATGCAGTATCCAACCATCAGTACCTGGAGAGGGGTAAGTCAAAGATCCTGTGTTGATAGAGTAGTGGTTCCATACAAAGGAGCTATATGTTGCGTCTTCTCCATGTTAGCGACCCGGGTACAGCTAGCAACTCCCCGGCAAGGCTTACAGTCGTCCCAACTGACTGTGTTCCCCAAAAGCCTGGTCTTGGAATAGATGCGCATTGAAACAAATATTGTCACGAAAAGCAGGGTCAATCCTTGCGTGGCATAAAGAATGGTTTGAAGCATATCTTGAGGGTCGTCGAGGTTCGGCTCCACGCCCACTGGGGGTGGCGCCGCCCCTGGATATTCTGTGCGGCTCATTGGCGGGTCAGTTCGTATCAGACTCAAGGAAGGAAAACTTTTGGATCATATCGGATACACCAAGGCCGCGGAAAGAAGACTTCAAAGGTTGGCCGCTGGATGCTGATGCTAAGAAAGGAGGAAGAGCGCGATGGCGCGAAGATACTGCTGCCTTTTGAGAGCAGCGGCTTGCTGCATAGCACTGAATGCACATCGCCGGCTACTTGGGGCGGCTCAGCTTCACCACGCCTCGCAATGTCACCGAAACTGGGATTGGGGCCAACCCGAGAAGAGAGTTAATACTAAGGCGAATTGGACCCCCCTGGCCGCATTCGTGATGGTGGTGTGATGTTAACCCAACACTGTTGCGACCTGCATTCTGCAATATAAAACATAAACCCATGGTTGTATCATCCGGAGGCCAAAGGTCTACAGGAGAAACACCACCAGCACCGTTGCTGCAGACGTGCATGAGCCCCTGGCCGGGCCCTTGCTCTTTGCAGCTTTTCCTGAAAGAACCCTGCAACGACCCTCCTCGATCCGGGGAAGTTTCCGTTGTTACCATAAACAATGTAGTCTTGTCCAATGGGACGAGAACCGAATGCAGGACGGATGCGACAATTTCTACTGGTTGTTGGTCAAGGTTCAAACTGCAACCGACGGCTGCTGCGTGGCCCTCCACGAAGAAGAGGGGCCGGCCGGCGAACTGGACTCTTTGGTAATGGACTCATGAGTGACTTTAAGGGGTGCATGCTGTCCACGTTGGTGGTCAGCACTTTGATGGATCATACAAGACACATAAAATCCCAACCTGACTGACAACTTGTCTGCCATCTCGTGTACGTCCAGCTGAAGCTTTCCGTTGGAGTCTACTCCGCCAACACGACTGCCCTATTGCAAGTCATTACTTTCGAATCGTATTCTTGCAGATAGCTTTGAACTTCACCAGCTTTGAGGCCTTGGGCTCCTCACTTGTTCAACAGTCAATATGGGAGACGCCAGGTCAACCGGAGCTGATTCGAAGCTCTTCGAGCCTCTGCAGATCGCCAACGGCAAGATTGAGCTCAAGCACCGAGTCATTCTCGCAGCCTTGACGCGGAATCGAGGAACTTCGGAGAAGGCCAATCCCACGCCTGAGAGCCCGAACCGTGTTTGGATCCCAAACGATATCATGGTCGACTATTACAGTCAGCGGGCGACCGAGGGCGGTCTTCTTATCACCGAAGGTCTGCCGCCATCCCTCGAGGTATTCATCTTCCCTCCAGTACTGCCGTGTTCGAATTGCTGACATGACTTTCAGAGCAACTGTATGCCTGGAGTGCCCGGCATCTTCACCTCGGAACAGGTTGAGGGATGGCGCAAGATAGTCGACGCCGTTCACGCCAAAGGAGCGTACATCTATGCGCAGCTCTGGCACGCTGGCCGTGCCAACATCCCCCAGTTGACTGGAGGCCCTATCGTCTCGCCATCTGGTCTGCCATGGGATGACCCTGAGGAGTTCTATATGTACCCTCCGCCACACAGCACGGAGAGGGTCAAGCTTGTCGATCATCCCCCGATTGAGTTGACTCAGGACCACATCAACAGAACCATACAGGATTACTGTGAGGCCGCCAAGTCTGCTATGGACGCTGGCTTTGACGGCATTGAGCTCCACGGCGCCAATGGATACTTGCCTGAGCAATTCTTGAGCTCCAACTCGAACAAAAGAACTGACAGGTACGGGGGATCCCCTGAGAAGCGGTGCACCTTTGTTCTCGAGCTCATGGAAGCCTTGTCAAACACCGTCGGCCAGGAGAACTTGGCCATTCGTCTCAGTCCCTTTGGTCTCTTCAACCAGGCAAGGGGTGAGAAGCGCGTTGAGACGTGGTCACATCTCTGCCGTGAGCTCAAACAGCAACTGCCTCGCCTCTCGTACGTCAGCTTTATCGAGCCACGATACGAGCAGATCTTCTCCGAGGAAGAGAAGCAAATGTTCCTTGACTCGTGGAATCTGCCCAACGTTGACCTGTCCGAGTTCCGCAAGATCATGGGCGATACTCCCTTCTTTTCTGCCGGCGGATTTGATGACCAGACTTCATGGGGCGTGATCGAAGATGGAAAATACGATGCTCTTGTGTACGGGCGGTACTTTATCAGCAATCCGGATCTGCCCCGACGACTCCGCGAGGGCATTCCCCTCGCCAAGTACGACCGCTCGCGCTTCTATGGTCCGTTCGAGGACCCGAGCATCGGTTACAACGACTACCCGAAGTTTGCAGCTTAGATCAGATAGACTGGGTGACAGTAGCCGATAACACAGCGTTGTTGATGCGGGCTTTCGCCGCTTATCTACAGTATCTGTGTGCCGGAGCATATTGATCCCTGAACGCGTCCCGCTTCTGCAGATTTGTTGATGTTTCACGTTGCTCAACACATCTGCGTATCAATGGCAATAACACAACATTCGTAAAGCAGGTTAGGCAACGGGACGCGCCAGCGTGGTGTTGGCCGTAGGTATGTTGGTCACTGGAGAAATGCAACCCCGGCGGGTAATCTCAAGAGGAGGTGTCCTAATATATTTTCGTCGTCAAAGTGTGCCCTGGGACTCCCCCTGTCGGCAGGGCCCACCATCCTCACCGGAAGTCAATTCCGAGTTCGTTCGACCCTACCGTCCATCTTTCCGATGCCTGCAACCAACACTCTGGCTCGTACGACTTGGCTTTAAACGACTTCTGGTACCGTCCGCAACGCACAGGTGACAAACAAGGTCGTTTGACCCACACGAGCGATTCACCAGAATTGCCAGAGGTTCGACGATCTGTTGATCCTCTCGGCCGGTGGGTGGTTAACATTTGCTTGTGAACGAGGAACGCGAAGATGGGAGGCCTGCGATCTTCATTTGCTGCTGCTACGTGTACATTGCTGTTCTCGACGATGAGGCTTTTCTTCTGCATGGGTTTGACAAGGGGCGCAAGGGAGCGGGGTCCAATAGCTCGAGGTGAAAATGCTTTCATGGCCTTATCTCTGAACTTGATCCCACCATGAACTTTGGCCCCGGTCTGACCCGTCTGTCAACTGCCCCCTTAACTTATTAGCCTGGCTGGCCGCTGATCATGAGGGAGTCTGGTTCACCCTTAATGTTTGCCCTGGCCAGTCCCCTCCTTACTCAGCGTACACGCAGCTCCGTTGATCATGCCTTTTCCACCTTTTACCACCGTCGCATACCCCTGATGATTCCCACCAGAACCCCTGATACACCAATCTCGTCCCGCACAGCAACAAATCACCTGCACAATGCCGTGGTCGTACCCCGCCGCCGCAATGCCCCACGACCTCCTTCCCAGCGTTGGCAGTTTCTCAGCCTAGATCTATCTTACTCAAACTCAATCTTCCATTCAATTTTCCACTCGATCTAACCCGGCTATTTTTGCCTTACTCAATCCACTTGGTCGACACGGAGGCAGATTGACTTAAAGTCAATTTAAATAAACAGATATTTTCTATTTTTGTGATGCATTAAATACCGTGTCTGCTCAATCATCCGTTCTATTTCTAGTGTTTTGTTGTGGGTGTAGGGTAGTCATTTTGTTGGCAGGTGGGTCCACGTGATCCATCAACTTTGACCTGCCTGCCGTGACCCACTCCAACAGGCCCCGGGCGGCCGGCCATCTGTTGACCTGCGGGTCTCGAGGCTGCCCTCAAGCTTTAAGGACCAAGGCCTCATCAATGACGAGATCTCAGACCATCATTGCATCCAGTAGCCCCTGATGCCCACCAGATCCCTCAGCGTAACATACAGGACGCCAGCCTTGCCATCAGACACTGCCAACATTACTGTATGCCACTCACCTCAGCGCAGGAGACTGGCTTCCCTGCGGTGCACGATGACCAGCTTGGGGGAAGTACAGCGTCAATTGGCAGTCTATGAGGCAACGGACAGTACACGTCCGGAGTAGCGTCGGTCCAACAAGACTTGAGTGTATTACGTAGAATATGCGACGCATTCATTCTGGAAGGCTATGTGGCATTGCCCGATTCAGGCGAGAATGCCCTCCCACTTTGGACGGAAAGGGCCGGCAGCGACCCCGGCAGTGGAAAGCCACTGTGCGTGCGCCCAGCTGCTAAGCGTTCAGAGTCGAGCTCCCCTGTCACGGAGGTACGTTTCCAGTCCATGGACGTACGCGGTAGTTTGCCCTCAATTCATGCTCGGCGGTCTCCGTGAGCTACCTACTACTTCCAAGTTCCCGTGTCTACTCGAAACTTTGTTTCTGCCTCAACATCAACGCCACAAACTACGACGCTGCCTCCCAACTGGAGGATGAATGCACCCACGAGCTATAGCTCGGCTCCTCTCCTCGGTGGTATGATCTTGACGGCAACTATCGCAACAAACGCCCCCTCGCTGACGTGCATATTATGCAACGCTTATATAGGGACGAATTAGCCGGAGCCAGACGAGGCAAGAGAACGTCTTGGTTCACTGCGAACCTTTGCAGAGCATTTCCTACTACAGAGTAGCTCGCACGAGGCTCCTCCTGGCCCGGTACCACGTCGTGATGCCCTCAGCGGTTACTGGACTGCAAAGGGCGAGATGCGAGACAACTACGATACCATTCTCGAGTCTCGGGTCCTTCGAGTTCTCCTTGGCGAGAACAAGACCGCCACCGGCGTCGAGTTTGTTCCGCGGAGCGCTACAGACGCGTCGCAGGCCAGGACTGTCTCTGCCCGGAAGGAGGTCATCGTTGCTACTGGAACTATCAACACGCCCAAGATGCTCCAGGCCAGTGGCATTGGGCCCAGGGCTGTGCTCGAAGAAGCGGGAATCGACGTCGTTGTTGATCTTCCCGGTATGTTTAAAATCTGACGTGTATGTGTGTGTGCTGTCTCCTGCTGACAAGATACTATAGGCGTGGGCTTCAACTTTCAAGATCACCCCGTGGGAGGCGGCGCGACTTTCATTCGTGCGTGGTTTCTTGAATAGAACAGAGGTCGCAGTGCTGACTGCAGAACAGTAACCAACTTCAACATCCGCCCCGATCCCAGCGATCTTCAGTCCAACGCCACGTTCCGGGATGAAGCTCAGGCAGAGTTTGCCCAATTCAGGACTGGTACGCATCCTGCTTGCTGCACCTGCACCCATGAGTGTTAGCTGATCTTGATAGGCCCGTTGTCCATTGCCTCTGGAAACCTGATGGCTTTCCTCCCCTTCAGCGTCATCTCCTCCAAGGCTGAGACCATCGCCTCGGCTCTTGAGGACCAGGATCCTGCTGCGTATCTCCCTCCCGGTACGGAAAAAACCCTTCTAGCGGGCTACGCGACCCAGAAGAAGCGCCTGGCCGCCCTTCTGCGCTCCGACAACTCGGCAAACTACAACCTGTTCCTCCGCGGTGCCAACTTCGGCGGCACTGTCGTCTACCTCCACCCAGTGTCCCGCGGAACCATCCACGTCAACCCCGCCAACCCCTTCTTCGGCAACCCTATCGTCGACTACCGCGCCGCCTCCAACCCGCTCGACCTCGACATCCTGGCCGAGTTCGTCCGCTACACGCGCCGCTTCTACACCGAGACGAGCCTGAGCCAGTACGGCCCCATTGAGATCAGTCCGGGCCCCAAAGTCACCAGCGACGAGGCCCTGCGCGAGGCCCTCAGGTCTTCGCTGAGCCCGACGTGCTTCCACCCCGTCGGGACCGCGGCCATGATGCTCAGGGAGCTCGGCGGCGTCGTTTCGGAGCTGCTCGGGGTCTACGGCGTCAGCGGCCTGAGCGTCGTCGACGCCAGCATCGTTCCCGACTTGCCCGGTGCGTATACTCAGCAGCCCACGTATGCCATTGCCGAGAAGGCGGCCGACCTAATCAAGAGGAGGGCGAGGCGGTGCCCGAGGGCCCTCTGAGAGCCTTTAATTTCGTTCATTCTTGACGAAGTAATAGTTGAAGAGTGCATAAGAATATGAAACTGTTTGTCTCCGATTGGAGATAGTGGTTCTGAGGTATTCACCAGGGGCGATTCCATCGTGGTGGTGCTGAAGACGAGCGTCATTGTCAACAGAAGCCTGTGTCATCAAGCTGTGGATTATGCAGGCGAGGAGTACACAGGCATGTAATTACACTCCGGATGCCCGCGGTAAGTTACGATGGGCTCGTGGTGTTTGCGTTACACGTCTCGGGTGTGAGGAGGCGAGAACTCGGTTGCTCACAGTTCCTTGCCCTTCCGCGATCCATACGGCCAGTCGCTGGATACCGTGGCACATACGAACTACCAGCCATAGTCGGTCGAGGCCGGCAAGTCTGGATGCTGTGTTTGTCCAGGACACGTTAACGAGATCAGGTAATAGGGTCAAATAAGTTGAAGCTTTTGAAGACCCCCCCCCGCACTAGAGACGTCTGTTCATATCCCTCCACTAGGCAAATATGTTATCTAGATTCAACCATTTTGTCACATAGAGCAATGGTCAACAGTCTGGTTGTGGTCCGGTGCACGCATGTAGGCATGTCGTACCCGAGACCTACGAAGGGGAGGTCAGCTGCCAGGCGTATTATCGGACAAGTCAACTATACGAAAGTCTAGTATTGTCTGCGGTGGCACGGTAACAGTTTCAAGATATATAGGACAGCGTAGCATAATTCAAGGCATTTCATATACGGACTACGTCTCCTTAAAGGTGACTCTGCTTACTATCAGGCTGTCACACTAGTAGCAGATGTCCGGCATAAGTTTGCTATCCCCTCTGACACCCTATATTCCTTCAAAGTTAAGAGAAGGCCCCTTTGGATAGCGCATAGAGTTTGAATTTGCCTTCCTTTTTTCTTTACTCTTCTTTTAGCCCGTTACGAGCTATTTTAAGGGACAGATTTTGGCCAGGCAAAAATCTCCGCACACGGTATTTGACCTTATAAAAGATCTCAAGGCTTCCCGACTTTTGGATATAGAAAATAGAGAGAATCCAGCTCCAAAAAATTACGGATAGGTGGAAGTGCTGCTACTCTGCTGGAATGCGGGCGAGCAAGCAGTAGAAGATAACTTAGCACGCTTCGAGGCGCTACAAGCGCCCATCGTACTCCAGCCCTGCAAGGCGGACACAAAGCTGCTCCGCAATTGACGGGCCATCTACAAGGAGTGCTGGCACCTGCCCTTCACCCGTATGCAGCAGTCGTACTGGCTCACAGCGCTCGATCGGCCGCCTCCTAAGCTCAGCAGCCGTGACAGGACCATCCCCCTCGGCTGGCTCAGCAAGATTGCTGAGCTGTAGGGCAAGGAAGCTGTCGGTATTGACCGTCTGGCCTTCTTTGCCTAGATATACGTGCTGGAAGAGGGTGGCGGTATGGCAGCGCTGTCTAGCTCGGCGGCCCAACTCTGATCGCGGCACATCATTCTCACCATCCGGCACACCGACTGGTCGTGGTGGGAGAACGGTAACCCCCCAGCTTCAAGGGCAACTAGGTCCAACAATCCTATGCCGTCATACTCACCACCGTCCGCGAGCTCCACTCTGAGCTAGAGTCGCTGGAGTGGAGGACGGAGAAGATCGACTAGATTGCAACATAGACAGCGGGCTGGTGGTTCTTCAAGAGGCCTGAAGGCGGGATGCTCTACGCCGAGGTAAACCCGTCGACGGGGCCGAGCACCTAGGGCAAGCACCAGTGGCTACGTGATGAAGCGGCCCCCGGGGAGGTCAACTACTACGTCGCCACTGTTCCTTTCCGACCAAGAAACAAGATCGAGCTAAGGGGTGGCACCATCAGTGTCGAGGCTATGGAGAGGGCCGCCAGCGGTCAGTTCAACAAGCACCCAGCCCAATCCCGTCGGTGAAGGCCATAGATCACGGCCTTCCCGACATCTAAGTCGGTCCATTAGATCCTGGCTTGGATTGCTTTTCCGATTTTGACGAATTTGGGACATAAGAAGAAGAGTATTCGGAGGAGCCGGGGGGAAAGGAGAGAAAAAGGACGAGGACGAGGGGGCAGGGCAGTACCACCACCAAAGGCAGGTAACGGCGTAATATGAACCCTGAGAGGCCCTAAGATTAAGCATGGAAGACGCTTATAATGTTCCTGAGATTAAGCTGTGTCGTAACTATGGTAACAAAGGTCATATTCTTGGAAGTGAGGCTTATAAAAAGACGTCGGCTGTATTTTGGTATCGATGCGAGGTACTGTAACATCTCCTTCTGCTTCTTATACTTGAAGCGACGTACTAATACCATCGCGATGGTTTTTCCTTGTCCCTTTTAGCTGACTTGCCCCGTCTCCCCTACTCGCTCCCACTGCTCGTAGCCACGGTGACTGTGGCCTTTGATGAGACTTGAACCGATAAAGAGACCGGAGTAGCTGCCGTGGCTGGGGTATCAACGCCCCAAAACGTCTGCGCTCTATCCAAGCCCTCTATACTACCGTCATTACCCTCGAGGCTCCCGTACCTCATCTTAGCTCGAGCGAGCACCTCGTCGTGCTCTTCCCACCAAGTATCATCTACAGGCGTCTCCCCGCCTAGTAGCCCCCTTTTCGCCTCGTTGTAGGTCTTCTTATCCGTTATAGAATTCATCATTCTCTCCCCAAGAGCCCCATAACGGGCTTCTGTATACCGGAGGATCGGCCCGTGCTCCTCCTGATAGGCGACTGCCTCTTGCATGCGACCTAGCGCGCTATCAACAGCATCAGGTTGCAGTGAAATGTCTCCAATATCTTCTGGAAGGCCTCCCTCGTGTTGCGTATGTACGCCAATTAGCCACATTCAGAGAACAGTGGAATTCCCTTTTGGCCTGTTTGATACTTCGATTCTACGACCGGGACCTTCAGCCTCGAAGGACCAAGTGCGTCATAGGCCTGCAGGCTAGCGAGGGCCCGGCGGCGAGGATCTCAGCCTGGACAAACCGGCCCTGCCGCTCAAAAACAACCTTGGGGGTATTCGGTGTATGGAAGAAGTCTCCGGGAACAGGGAATGCTGTCTGAAACAAAAACCCCGTCATAACCTTGTCCCGAAGCCACTAGAGCTTCTCCCGCTCGACGGCAGGCAGCTTATGGTACTTCTTCACTATAAACGCGTCGAAATATACGAGACAGGTCACCATGTGCCACTAGAACCCGCAATAGTCCTGTCATACTGGCCTGGTCACCCCGGGAGCAGTGCAGTCTGTCAGCATCTACGAGAAGACGTCGACCCGCAGCGAAATAACATGGGGTTGTCCACGCCCATGCTGCCGGCTACCACGCCGACGACGCTGTTAGCCGTGATCCACGTGTCCGGATCTACGACGCCCGTCGTCCTAATCTATTATTCGCAGACCTTCCGGAACAGCCGTCCCCTTCGGCGGTATCGGCGGGCCCTTTGTCCTTGTGCAGCTGCGTGTGAGCCTTGGGGTTCAGGAAGGCCACGTAATAGCTTTGACTCACCCTCAGCTTTCCGTATGGGCCTCTGGTGTTCTTCATAACCTATTCAACAAGGGGACGCGCTTCCGCGGTGCGACACGCCCCTTTAAGAGCATGGGCGTTGTTATGCTTGGTGATCAGCGCCAGCGTCGTCCAGCCCTCATCGCCTACTTCGGTCCCGGCTTCAAACTCCTTGCCGACTAGATAAGTCTCGGCATAGCGCCCAAGACCGGCGAGGAAAAAGTATTTGCGACTCAGCGCTTCGCGCTTCTCATAGTTTAGAGGCAGTGCAATGATAGTCGAGGACCCTCCCGCTTCTGGATAAGCGGCGGCGCGAGGCGGATCTGCCGACTTGTCAGACCGAAGGCGGCCCCTAGGTTCGCACCCGGATGCGGATTTAGATTTGCCGCACCCGGTGCGGCAATTATGTAAGCAGGTAAATGCTATCAATTCCTGGGCAAAGCCTCGAGGCTATGCATTTACGACAGGGAAGTCCTTAAAGACCCAAAGTGGCCGGGTTAAAGTTATCTTCTCTTGTGATCGAAATAGGCTACCACCAAGCGCATCTACCGAACGAAAACGCCGTACATGCAGCCGAGGAATAAGTTGCAAGTTCTCAGTCCTTGCTAAAGAGTCCTTAGATGGAACTTCGTGGGTCCTAAGCTATCGACCAGGCCAGGAATACTCTCTTCACAATCACCCGCCAAGCCAAGATCCGTCTGCACATCCAGCACACCGAAAGTTATCTGCTAAGGATCAAACTTTGGTTGCCAATCTCTTAAATGCTGGCATTGCACCGAAGGATATTAGGACCTATCTCCGCTAAAACTCTAACATAATTGTAACTCAAAAAGATATCTACAATCGTATTGCAGATAGCAGACGAGAGCTCTGCGAGGGCCAGAGCACGATCCACGCCTTGGCTAACCAACTGGATAAAGAAGGGTTCTGGAATCGGATGTAGCTTGATATAGATGGCCGGGTAATAGCTATCTTATTCGCTCATCCAGACTCATTGGCATACCTTCAGGCTTACCCGGACCTTCTCTTCTTGGATTGTATATATAAGACGAATAAATACGGGATGCCGCTCTTTGATATAATCGGTGTGGATGCCTGCTAGCGATCCTTCTGTATCGCCTTTGCATTCCTGAGCGGCGAGACTGAGGAGGACTATATCTAGGCACTAGATCGCCTTAGATCTATATACGAGCTCTGTGGCACAAGGCTTCCATCTGTTATTCTAATAGATCGCTGCATGGCTTGTATGAATGCTGTGTCTCGCTGCTTTCCATCGGCAATCTCGCTACTATGCCTCTGGCATGCTAATAAGGCAGTCCTCCGCTACTGCCAGCCAACCTTCATACGGCACCAACAAGGATCAGAAGCCTACTAACAAGGTCTAGATGATTAGAATGAGTTCTTTAGTCACTGGCATTCAATTATCAGGTCATTAGATAAGGAGACCTTCGATCAACGCGTACAAGAGATTGAAAAGCGCTACCTACCATAGTACCTTAGAGAGGTT